GCTAGGTAATTCACTTCAGAAACACTTTTTGATTATCCGATGCCGAATGCTCTCTAACAGTCCGCATAAAAATTAATATATTAAATGTAGGGATTGGTAGTGATGCCAATTTTTGGGGCCGATCGAGTGGGCGGGGCCGTATGGGGCATCTTCCATTTAAAAGTGATGTTAAAACTCAGTTTAATGGGTCATTCCACTGGCGGCTTCACAAAAAACAACATAATTAATTAATTTTCAAATGAAGTACATTATTCAAGCTTTACATGTAACTTTGGATACATAACAAGCCCCCCCAGGAAAGTGCGCCGCGCTCAGCATGAAAATATTTTGTGTGGACAAACGGCGGTAGCATACACTTCCGGTTTTTGGTTGCAGGCCCGGAACACTTTTTCCCATTAACTTACATGGGGAAAGAGTGCGTCTGTAAAATCGTGGATACTTTTTTTTAAACTAAAGACAACGTACCCAGCTATGAATACTTGTATAGCCCTATTAAAAACAGTTCGCTTCCTCAAGTTGGATAATGTGCGGATAACGATTTATTCTGAGAGTTTATTGTCCTTCTGCATTATGAACGCGCCATTTCTAACCCACGGGACCGCGGCCCGCCCGCCACGCTTCATGTTACGTGTCCCGCACCAATCAGGAGCCACACTGTGTCACAGAGCGCCCGGGGGGGTGGCAGCTATTGGAGCTACAACGAGCCGTTTAAAGCGAGAGTGAAATTCAGTGAATACACGCTTAGTTATACAGAGATGCTGCTGTTGAGAAACCAATGTGAGTTGCGTTTATCTTTTACCTATGGGCATGCACAATAAGAACGGACCCACTATTCGTTCATTTACTGGCCATCCACGGAGCTGTAATAATGGATATATGCACATGTTTTGCTGTAATTCATTATCCATGACTACATTGCGGTGCTATGATATAAGATTCTTGTACCGTAAATGCTTGTATTAAAAAAAAAGAAAAAAAAAAAAACAAAAAAAAAAAAAAAAAAACATAAAGTTAGATATTACGACGTTAGATTAACTCCCTGTAGCTTCTATATTGCACTAAGAAGATATTGCGCACATAATACGTATATACAGTGGCACATCATTCTTTCATGCTAAATGGAAGCTCGTTGCTTGGATATCACTAGATCCTGTTACAGCGTGAATATAGTACATAACCATTGATGTTAACATTGAGCCATAATTACTAGAGCTGCGCCTCGTTATATCAAGCATCATAATAACGAAATCTACCATGGCTGTCATGAACGTGCGGTGTCTGTTACGTGTACGCAAATGAAGTGCTTGATGTGTGAACGAGCAATTTGGTTAAAGTTGCGCATGCGCTATGGCGCCCATCACGGTACTTCTAGGGGGGCATTGCCGGGAATCTGTGACGTTTCGCTCTCTCAAAAGTTGGGCCATTTTATCATCATGCGTCCCAATGAAATTGGGTTTAAGTACATTGCTCAGAATAAGTGAGAAATGAATTTAACTTCGGTTAGACAGCTATCATACGAATAAATATTTTACTGTGAATGATGCAAAAATGTATGGCATATGGCTGTCTAACAGAGTTTTAAATTAATTTCTCCACTCACTATTCTGACAATGTACTTACCGCCCCCCCCCGCAAAAAGACCCAATACAAAAGGAGTTGTGTAAATAATTATTGTGACATCACGTCCGTGTAATAACATAACTGCACTCTCTCTTCGTTTTCTTTTTGAGCGTTTTGCTAAAAGCCCACTTGGTCAAGTGTTTCCATCTTGGGCTTGCCGGCTCCGGGTTTCTCCAATTATGGCGGACCATCTTCGCCACATGCGCGCAGTACGTATCGCGGCAGGGTGGGACAGATCACAGATCGGGTAGCGTGACCACCCACACATCGCGATGATAACTTACGACGGGAGGGGGAAGAAATATGAGCGGAAGCCGCTCTCTTTTCTCTTTCTGCTCAGTATCGGTCTCATGCCAGCTTCACTGATCCGTAATGAGGACGACGTGAACGATACACAGTTATAACTCAGTTTAGCTTGTCCAGAGGTAGATAAAATAACTAAGGGTGTGTAACGTCTAACGCTTACGCTCTACACACGGCGGCGGGCTGCGTTTGTCGCCTTGCGCGCGGGGGGGGCGGCCTGGAACTCGACCAACACACCAATCACGATGATCTCCGGCCCCCCAGCGACACACGGGTCTATGATTGCTAGAGCTTGTACTGGCATCATGATTTTGATTGGGCTGGGACTTCCTCCGTCGATAGCGGGCAAAGTAGGGAACATTGCCTGCCTACTTTTGCAGACGAGCACCGCGGGAGAGAAGGCTTTACGCTTTGCCTCCACAATGCCCAGTTCGGCGTGAATCGTGCGTCACCTCATTCAAAGTACATTGGGCAGAAGCGTTAATGGCAACGCACGCCGCCCGTTGTCTAGGCACGGCCGGTCTGGTGTGTGTGTGGTGCTCCGCCTCGACGGTCTGCTCACAGCGGGTCGAAGCTGCAGGATTTCTGCTTCACACACGTTGCATACCGCTATTTTATTGTCCTTTTCGGACACCTTAAAATACTGCCAGACTGGTGAAGCCATTTTGGCGAGCTTGTTTTGCCGCGCACTGAGAAAAGTGTCATGTATTTTACGTCATGCGATCAACATTTTTAGACAGCACCGATCGATCGGTAGAGAGTGAGTATCGGCCGATATCGATCGGCGGCCGATCGATCGGAGCATCCCTATATTAAATGCTTTGACAATAAATACATTTAAAAAAATGTCATCTGTGGAAGCCGTAGCACTGTAAAAAGCACGACCAATTATCTGAGCCGGCCCGGCTAAAGTAACTGGATGGCCTACCTGCCTGTCAGCCTTCCGCACAAACTTATCTCGTGCCCTCATTGGTCATGTGTGCGTTCATGTGTGTTGGAGAAGGGGCTCTGTTAGGAAATGGCAGATTTTTTCCGGTTGTGTATTTTCAAATTCTAGCGCACTCTAGCTGGTTTCTCCATTCTTACCTACTACCCTACCTTTAAATCAGTTTAATGTTTCACTATCATTGGTAATCTCTATTGAATGTCACAACATCACAACTAATGAAAGTATTACCATGTGCCAGTAGAATGGCAAGTTTTATAGTCAGACCTACACAACAGTATGTAAATGCACCACCAGGAAGCAGCCTGTGCAAAGCTAAAGCACTGTTCTTTAAGATTGACTGCAACATAGTAAGCATTAATGTGATATGGCTATCTGAACAATAGCCCACAATAAAGTATGTTAAGTGAAATAGCAAATCAGCTTAACCACCAGGCCATAAAATGGCTACAGATAGCCACCAGACACAATATATTGCAACAAAAAGTGTGTCTTAAATGCAGCATGAACAGACCCAAAACCAACGTCAATCAATGAAACACGGCAACGAAAAGTCACGGTAGCTGGCGTTAGCCCTCAAAGCTATGGTTAGCTTACTGCTAACTCGCGTCACACGTCGCAGAAGAAACGAGCAATGGCAATTTAGCAAATCAACGCTCTCGAGTTGGCCAACAACGTAGTTTAATCTACCATACGGGCACTCAATTACACATTCACCGATTAAAAGTGCCACCCCACTTAGCAAACATTACCCGAAGAACATTTACTTGCACACACAACCTCCACCAGGCACACATTGTTAGCTCGTCGTCATTAATGACACCAGCACTTCATTTAAAATACAATGTGCGTTAAATGCAGATTATAAACATATTCTAATGTCGTGTGCAATTTCACGTTGATCACATCGTTAGATAGGATTAGCCAACATTGCAAAAACTATTGCTGTCCAAACAAAAGCTCAGCAAAACGTCGAGCTGAGCTAGCTCTGTAGCCAACAAGGCCCCATGCGTTAGCGTTAGCTTTTGACAGCCTTCACGGACGTGCATCAATGACAATGTAATCTTCGTGAAAAACTCAACATGATAACTATCTAAACTTACACAATTGAAAAGCAAAAATGATCGTGCTAGATCAAGAAAAATGGTTGGATTCAGATCGTTTTGGCTTCTCGTCTCTCTCAGTCTCTTCTAGATGAGTTGTGGAGAATGTTCTTTATTACATATAATGACTGTCCAACCGACGCATTATGTGTTTGCCGCCACCTACTGTATCGGGGTGCTTGTGATGTTGCGATATCATCAATTTGGATATGAAACCTGTTTCATGGCTATATGTAAATAGGCCATTCATACCTGTAAGCCTTTTACTTTTATTCATCATAAGACATTGAAGAACATACCAGATCAAACATACAATATAGCCTATTAGATTAAAAACGTTATGACAATAAATGCAAATTATAAAATAAAGTGGATTATTATAACATGATGCATACATTTTAAAACAAAAAGTAATTTCCTAATCTCTAGGCATAGACGGAAGGAGATGCTAATATTTGAATAATAAGTGGCGTCAGTCAAAACAATAACAAACAACATATTCCGACACATTGTTTGAGTTATTTTACAGTACACTTTTTGTTGTTATGAAACACATTTTAATATCTCTGAGATGGCTACAATGAACATGAAAAAACCTTATTAATGATCATATTAATATTTTCAGAAATAGATGAGTTGAAATTATCCATAAGAGAAATGTTAGTTATGTTAACTGTTGTAGACATCACGTTGTATTGGTTCCTATCAAACATTTGTCTTGTTTCTCACTCCACAACATGCAAAAGCGGTCAGTAGACGCTCACATCTCTTTATATTATCTTAAAACATAGTCAAGAAGAGTTTAAATTGAGAACTAGCCCTAATAAAATACAGACCAATACAATTGTTCTTACATTGGCCCCCTCCCCTATACGACCGAGATTCTTTAAAGACAGTGATGAGTATTTGTATATGATAGTGATGAGTATTTGTATATGATTTATTTTGTAAATAGTTACATGACTTATTGATGGTTTGGTACGCCAGTGCGCACCAGCAATGTTCACACATCATGTGATGTTGTTGGAAGCAGGAGGCAGCCACAGAGGCATAGTGAGGATCAATTTGTGGAATAAAAAGTATTCAAAAATAAATGTCCATAACCCTTCAAGCAGATCGGGTTGTCAGTCTTATTGTAATACACAGGTTGGCCAAATCGAGACACTTTCTAGGGCTTGGTTTTCGGCGTCATGTGTCTTCTAGATCTGCACTCTTAAGGCTAACTGTGAGCTCATGTTAGCTCCATAGTACCAACACTCACCCAGGCTGAAGCTGGGGCGCAGCCGCAGCACAGCCACTAGCCGACGATCATTTCCGACAGCTCCGTATGGATTTGACGTCGGCATACATTGTTGCTTGATGTTTTACAAAGGGTCGACTACCGGTGATTTTCGAAGATGGAGGAACCTTGTGACCTCAAGCACTTCGTAAAGTGAGTACCTTGTAAAAAAAAACACATTTTTTTCTTACCGTTATGTAAATTGCGGCAGTGTGCTTTAGCCATCTTACTACACACAAGTAAGACAAAACATCACCAGCTAGCATGCTAGTAACGCCGGGTGCAGAGACTCGAGTGTACGGGTCCATTATACCCCTAAACGGAAACGAATAAAACCCTTCCTGCTCATTAATTCAATTAGAAAATAATCGAGCTCCCTGCTAGTCGAAAAATGTTTTAATTTGAGTTTACACATTCGGCACGGATCACAGATCGATAAGTAAAACACAAGTTAACAACAGTAACGTTAGCATAGTGGCTGCTAGTACAATGCTAACCTTGCTAGCGTTAGCTGCTGATGCTAGTACAGTTTCTTGGCTAACTGTGTTCGTTTCCAGGAACAAATGTTTGTTTACCTTTTAAATACGCAACCGAAAACCCGATCAATCGACGAACTTATTGTGTTGTGAATGATTTAAAGTTTTGCCAGTCAACATTAAAAACATGAATTATAGATAACAGAACACGGGCTAACGCTATCTTTAAAGATGGCACACGAAAGCTCCCTGTTCATGTTAGCTCTCCCAAGTTAGCTTAGCTGGTTTTGATATTTTGTATAAACCAGTTTCAAAGTCGAACAGCTTAGTTCTTGCAACCTTACCTACCTGCTTACTAATTATATATATATATATATATATGATGTAGTATGACTAGTTTGCAAAACGTGGTAAATTAGTTTATTAAATGAATAGGTTTGCTACACATCCTCTACTCGTTTTTATAGTTGTTACTATCCTTTTAAAGGCCATGTTTTGGCTGCATTCAATTGTCCTGCACAGGCCATGCTTTAGTTACTTTCTTAATTGCTTCGCACCAGTCACCGTTTGTTTTCACAACAGCGTCCGTCCATGTTTTCCTTCACATAAATCCTTTTTGTACAGTAAAGCCTTTGTTTTAAGTATGCCATTTTCATTCGCTCTAAATGTCCAGTAATGAGATGCTTGGTCTCTGCTCGCCGAGCATCCATGTTTTTCATATATCTTCGAACATAATGGTGCTATTTATAACCCATAGATAAATATAACCTTTTACTTTTGTTTCTTCCGTCATTTAAATGAAGTTTGTCCCTTAGCAAACAATAATATTAAAACGTGCATATAGCATCTCTGCCACATATGCCACGATAGATAACATGACACTCAGGAAGGGAGGCTGCAGAAGTCGTTAGAACTCAACGGTTGAAAGCATGTGACAAACAAAACATATTAGACATGATGTACATAAAGTATAGAGTGTGTTTTGCTCAATCCAAATACACGGTTAAAACAACAAACTCGTTTTTTCTCAATGCACATGTCAAAATTATTTTAAGTTCCTGACAGAGTAGCTGTAAGCTGTTGTGAACAAACTCAGTTCATTGCTTCTCTGTCTTTCTTTTTGCCAGGTGTGGCGTCAATTTGGAGGGCACATTTCTCTGATTTGGATTATTGTTGGCCAGCAGCCTCTTCGGGCCTACTAATCCTAGACGAGTTTCTCAATGGACACTCTTCTCAAGTCTGAGATCAGGTATTAGACTGCAAAATGCAACTCACAGTATATGTCTTCTCAGAGTAGTTTGACATTAAATTGTTTTAGAGTGGTTTCTAGGTTTTCTTTTCTTTTAGGTGTAGACAATGAAAATATTTCTGGCACCTGTTTACTGTTGAAACATTTGGCTATCAAGGTCATCCTAAGGCCAAGGCATTGTCTTTATTTTTCTATTTCACATCCAAAGCACTTTCCTCTGCTGGATATGTTTGGGCTCTTCTTTTAACATAGATGTCTGATGTGATATGACATGTTGTCTTCACATGCTTTTATCAATTGATGTTGTTATTTTTGACCAAGTGAATAGATTACTGGTTACTATTGTTTCGATCAGTGTGGCAACAGATACAGGCAATAATATACGTTTTGAAGATTTGTTGTCTAATATCTACCACATCGAGTTGGTGAAGTAGGCCCAGTCCATTTAATAATTTGACTGAAAGCTTCTTGTGATATCCCTTTAACAGAATGTCACTGCATAAGTGTCTCCTTTTGAAGGTTACAGAGAAAAAAAGGGAAATAATAAAATCCCCAAGGATTAAATGACCCAATTGTTGCCCAGCACCGATGAACATACCCCAAAGAAACCACACTAGCTTTTATAGGACAAAAAGAGAAACAAAAAACCTTTTCCTGTATTCTTTTGGCCACTACTGTTTTTTCAATGATGTAACATAAAAAGTGTCTGTTAAAAAACTAAATTGCCTGGACATAATAATAGTAAGATTTATTACAGACTGTCCTTCCTGTCCTACAAATACTTTTTGTTTCATTTGGCCTTTACAGCTCTACTCAATCCAGGTATTGTAGCTCTTTTAGGAAATAGCAGCAACTGCGGATGTGTTTGTTTTCTCAGAGGTGTTGTGTTATGTAGAAAAAATGAATGATGTATAATTTTCGGTCAGGTTTAATTAACCTTAGCTTTATTCCTGTCTGACATGAATGGTTTTCTTAATTAAGTTGGCTATGAATAAAATGAGACCTTCAAAGTATGTTTTGCAAGCTAAGCTATTACTGTAGTGGATACCTCAATCGGACATATATTTTTGCATGGTGGCTCATTGTTTAGATCTGTAGCATCGCAATTAGTCCTGATTTTCATGGTAATCTTTTTTAAGTTGCATGGGTTTCCAACGGGTGCATCAGTTTTCCTCTATACAGTGTCATGCTCCTGTTATTGGCTCTGGCTTTACAATTGTAAGTTGTTCTTAGGCATTGGAAAACCCATCTCTAAAATGGTTAGGATGTTTCAAATTCAGTCAGGATATTTCTCTATACAAATCAGTATAAACACTTTTTCTAATATCCAGTGTGGTGTCTGATAACTAACTTTATATTAAACTATGGTGTTGTATGTTCCTGTCCGCAGAACAAAGCAGTTAAGCATTTGACCTTGTGGTTTGGAGGATGATATATTTAAGTCAATGTTCATCATGCAATATATATGTGCTGATGAGCAATAATCACCCCAATTCTGTAATGGTACATTCTAATGGGGAATACAGAGTTTTGTTTACCAGCATTTCCAGACAACAGAAAACATTCCTGATGTTATTTTTGTCCTCTGTTTATAAATAACTCATTTTAGATCTTATATATATACATATACATTACTATGGCTAACCTATGTCTTCTTTCACCTATTTCAACAAATTGTTCACATACTGTGATATGACTGCCCTGAATAGCAGCCAAGACATTTGTCACAAGTCAGCGGTTTATCATATATGCTGTCAGACTCCTTCATTTTTAAATGACAAAGGTGGCTACGATGAAATTCCAAAAAGTATTATATCAATATTCTTTACTTAAACTTTGAGACAAATCTTCAGTTTTCTTATTAATAATATATCAGGCTTGCACTTTTTAGGAAAACAGAGTTACAGGAGCAGGTGGTAGACAATTCCACCTGACACTGTTGTAGATATGGCAGCAGATGTGGTGCTCCCAAGTCCTTACCTTTTAGGAGCGCACACAATATGTTCAGGGACATGTTCACATCCAACAAGGCTACATTGACAATTTTGGAGACTTATATTCCACCTGAGCTTGAACTTGATGAGATGTATGAACTGTGTAAACTCATTTCTGTCTTTCCTCTCTTTTTATGTTCCTGTAATGCTCTTGTGTAACCTCAGAGAGGAGGGGAGTAATGCCTCGGTAAGTCTCAACTAAACAAAGTATGATCCCGATGTCTAATACCACAATTAATTATTTAACTCAATTGAAAAGCTTTTTCTCTTTTATTGTAGGTGAAGGTGGAGGGCCTATCCAAGGCAGCTCTAATCAAGAGCCTGTCTCCCAGAGTCATGCTATCCAACCATCTCCTGCCTAAAGGGACCAAGATGAAGGTCAACCTTGAGGATCAGGGTCGTCAGAAAGTGTCCTTCGGCTTTGCACCGACCAAGAAGCCACTGCAGAGCCCATTCTTCCTCCCTGCCAGTCCTGACAAGTCTGTTGATGAGCCCAACGCTGCCTTGTCACAGTCAACCTCAGAAGTAGAAGGGCAAAATACAGACATTGAGCAAACTGAGCAGAACCAGACCCCCATGGTGCAACAATCAATAGCGGAGATACATTCTCCAACACCAGTCGCTGCAGCCACTAAACTGAAAACGGACCTGCCGAAGATGCATTTCAAGAAGCAAATTCTCAGTGTCTCTGTGACTGAAGAGAATCCAACAACTGTTGTGCCAGAGGAGCCAAACTCTCCTGAATTGCAGGTTTTGCAAAAACCAACAAGTGAACCTGAATTTCCAACGCCTCAGCCTCAGAATGTCCTCAGTCTCTGCCCGTCTGAAAATAATCCCATTCAGGCCCCTGATAAAAGGGTTACACCTACCCTCAAGAAGCCAGCTGCCCCCTCAGGAAAAGATGGAGAGAGTTCCAGCTGTGCTGAGCAGGTTATTAAGGTAGAGAAAACAAAAACCAGGTCCCACTCTGATAGTGCTCACCCTGGCTCTGAATCTGATGGAGATTCAGGCCAGATGTCTTCTAGTCGCAAATCAGTTGACTCCAAAAGTAAAGCAAACTCTGACAGCAGAAGCAAAGAGATAAAAAAGTCTTCCTCAAGTTCCCATGTGGAGGAAAAAGAAAAAAGTTACTCTAGGCGGTCAGAGAATAATGAAAGGTCTTCTAGTTACTCCAAATCAGAACGTGATCCAAGACACACATCCTCACGCTCATCTCGATCCGATAAAGATCGCAAAAGGTCCAGGTCTAGATCACGTTCTAAATCAAAAGGGTCCCGGACAAGTTCATCTCACTCCAGGTCAGAGAGATCCAGAGGCGACAGAGGGTCACGCTCCGAAAGGTCATACTACCATGACTCTGATCGGAGATCACACCGGAGTTCTCCACGCAGAGAGAGAAGACGTTCTCGCTCTCGCACTGACAGAACTCGGGACAGTTCTGACTCTGAGGATGACCACAGGAAGACAAGAACAAGGACTAGTGACTCCAGTAAATTGTCCAGCCATTCAACCTCACATAAAGACTCAAAATCATCTTCCTACTCAAAGTCTGAGAAGGTTTCTAAATCTTCAGATTTTCCTCAGTCTTCAGAATTTGATAAAAGAACAAAATCGTCGAAGTCTGAAAGGACCTCAAAGCGACTATCGGACTCTGATTCCCAGCTCAAGTGCTCTCCGGATCTGGACTCTAGTTACCATAAATCTAGCACCCATCACAAATCAGAGACCAACAGCAAATCCTCTTCTTCCAGCATGCATACAAACTCTCAAACATGTGAAAAACGGCAAAAAAGCAGCTCCAATGACTCTGAAGCAGATCATAAGGGAAAATCAAAGGCATCTGAAAAAATGTCTGGTCGGGAAGACAAATGTAAAAACTACCCGATGAAAACCAGTAGGCCAGACTCAAAGCAGATGACCCCTTCTAGATTTTCTGGGAAAACCAGTGGACACGATAAACAATCAGATTACATATTTCACAGCCCTGGCAAAGCACTGTCAAACACAAACACCACAGAGGCTTTTTCTCGGAGTGAGAAAGAAAAAAACGATTCCCTAAAAGGTGGTAATGAATGTAGTGGTCAGAATGTTAAGGAGATGGTCTCATGCCCCGATGAAAAATCGCAAGAATCCTCATTGAAGAGATCAAAAGAAACAAAATCAAGTCTTGATGTAGACCCCTCAGCTATAACCCCAAGTGAAAACCTAAAGCATGCCGCCCTGGAAAATGTGACCAATGTGAAGGATAGCCCTTCTTCTAATAATCGACCACATTTGAACTCTGATGCAGCTGTCTTAAATTCATGCAGTAGTAATGATAGCATACTGTGCAACCAGGACAAGAACATTGTTGACTGTTTACCAGGGCCAAAGTCCTTAGAAATATCAGATGTACCCGTCACCCATGATGTCCAGCAGAACACTAAACCAGTGATCGTTAAAGATTTGACAGCCGGCAAGCTGCCTGACACAAATTTGTTGCTCAAATCTGAATTATCGTGTCTTGAATCTGAGGATCAGCTGACAATTGAACAGCAAAATATGGATACTGTTCAAAAGAACAGCAGTGCGTCAAAAAAGTCCCGGTGGGATATAGTTGGGCAGAACACCTCAGAGAGTGATAATTTAGAGTGGTCACTTTGTGCAGAGAGTACGCCTTCTGTTAAAAAAGTGATTTCTGTCAAACAAATTGAAGTTTCTAAAGACAATAACCAACAAGACTCTGATATTAACAAACATACTCGGCAAGGAGCTGAAACACATTCCAAACTGGATAAGCAGACTAAGAACTCTCGGCAGGAAGTTGGCTCAGACAGCCCACCGATATCCGATAAATACAAAGACCAAAGTGAGACTTCACAGGCAAGCACCAGCATTGACCACTGTGACTTAAAGCTGAGAGTTTGTCAAAAATTCAAAACAGATGAGCCTATGCATGTAAATGATGCATCACAGGTCGACAAAGCTGCAAAGATGCAGAGTTGGAATGGCGATGGTCATGAAGACAAATCCAGGGGCAGCACCCCCAAGAACAAATTGAGTAATAGAACATTACTTAATCAGGACGGATTAGGAGGACAGAGTGAGGTCAGTGATAGTGACAACTCTGAGTATGACTCCGATTGCGGCGAGGCCATAAAACGATTGCACTCTGTGGTGGTAGTGCCAAAGAATTCTTCACTAATAGGAGATGCACAGGATACGGGAGCTTCTCCAAGCAATCTATTGAACAATTCCCAACTACAGAACGCAAATATCAACGAAGTCCCGATTCAAGGTACACAACAAAGGCAGGGGGCTGCTTTCTCGATCCTGGCGACAAGTGGTCCTTGTGATGGTCTAAATGATTCATCCCAAAGTAGCATGTTGTGTCAATCCCAGAGTAATATGATTGATAGCACGAGTCACTCAGAGGGTTCCAGCTCCATCGGTGCACAGCGTTACATGGCGGGTCAAATTGTTGCCCATGGAAGTGCCACAGACCCTGCCCACAGTCTTGATAATTCCAGGCAGCGTGAGCAAGGGCACACACAGCATAATGTAAGCAGCAGAGGTGAAAGGATGCAGTCAAATTTCCAACCTGATGCTGACAATATCAATGATAAGAATGGACTCAGCCTGGGTTGGGAATTTTCACATCCAGAACAGCCTAGTACTACATACCAGCTGCCTGATAGCAGTCATGGGCCACACCTAGCAAACACTAAACTGGCTGAAACCTCTGCCATGGGACAGGAGCAGAAGCAGAGTAATGCCACCTGGAATCATCAATCCCCAAACACACAGACTATCAGACAACCCTACCTCCATGTGCATGAGCATTATCCAGACCCTGCAGGTGAAATCCATCCTGATTCCCTAACTAATGACCAGGACGACTTCAGTGAGGATAAACTGTCTAACCTCGGTAAAACAGCTGTTGAATGTGCTGGACTACAAGGGCACGAAATAAGCAGCAACAGCAGGGGCTCTGCTTTGCCAGACGCCCCTAGAGAAGACAATTTAAGACCCCACAGAGGAAGGGGCCCTCCCAAGAAAAGGCGGCCAGAGATCGAGTCTGATTCAGACAATGAAGCAGAAGCTGGGCCTGCAGGCAAGAGGGAGCGTCCAGAAAGTGCTGACGTCTCTAAAGAAACTCATGTCAGAGCTGAGGTGCAGCGTCCCTTGCTCAATTTGCGAGACTTTCAAGACTCCAGTAAATGGAGAGAGTTTTCCAGGTCTAAGAAGATGCCCCCCTACTTTGACTTGATTGAGGAGAACCTGTACCTGACAGAAAGGTAGGTTGTTGTTCAGTCTGCTTAACAATAGCTATTATTTTGTTTGTAGAAAGATTTACCTAAATAAAGTGGTTTTAGGCTGGAGCTTTGATATATATATTTTTTGCAGAAAGAAAAGCAAATCCCATCGAGATATCAAGAGAATGCAATGCGAGTGCCCAGTGCTGCCCAGAGAGGAGCGCTCCAGAGGAGTATTGGCATGCGGGGAAGACTGTTTGAATCGGCTGCTCATGATTGAGTGGTAAGTTGATCATTACTGTTAATGCTGTGACATCATGTAAGAACACGATGTTTCCATATAAAACCTTTTGCAGGGAAAGTTTGAATTAGTAATAACATGAGTCTGTTAATTGTTTGTATTAATCATGCTCTTTAACATTCAAACCCGGCAAAGTTAAATAAAGGGCGGATTCTGTAAACAAATGTGTAGGAGCCTGTTAACGTACAGTATATAAGTCTGAATTTTTTTTTTTCAGCTCCTCACGGTGTCTGAATGGACACTACTGCTCTAATAGACGCTTTCAGATGAAACAACATGCAGACTTCGAGGTCATCCTCACAGAAGATAAGGGCTGGGGTCTACGGGCAGCTAAGGACTTGATTGAGTAAGTATTTACAAAATTATTTTGTCATTGTTGGCACACCAACTCTTTTAGATTGTAATAATAAATATTTTATTGCAATCTCAGAAACACCTTTGTGCTGGAATACTGCGGGGAGGTTTTGGACCACAAGGAGTTCAAAACTAGGGTGAAAGAATATGCTCGCAATAAGAACATCCACTACTATTTCATGGCTCTAAAGAATAATGAGGTTGGTGATTACACATTTCAATAAATAATGGTATTTAACTGCAATCTGTCTAAATGTATCAGGTGAAGCTGTATAAATAATAGACATTGTTTATTTTCCATTTAGATCATTGATGCAACGCTGAAAGGGAACTGCTCCCGTTTTATGAACCATAGCTGTGAACCCAACTGTGAGACCCAAAAGGTATAGTGGCAAAATAATTGACGCTTTTTACAGTTAATTTCCTAATGTTTTTTTTAGGGCCGGGACTCGATTAAAAAAATTAATCTAATTAATTACAGGCTTTGTAATTAATTAATCGCAATTAATCGCATTTTTAATCGCATATAAATATTTGACCTGAGAACAGTGAAAAGCTATTTTTTTCACATGGATTTTAGTATACCATTGAATAATGACTGAATACATAAGCTTAAGCAACAAAACATTGTTTATTTTTTTCAAGGAGGTTCTTAACCAAGACCAACAGAAAAGTGCAATTTTTGCCATAAAGTGTAGCAATAGCATATTTAGGAATATAGTACATTTCAGAGATTCAGGTAGCCTATAGGTAGGTAGACCTTCTGTAAACTATAACACTTTGTTTTTTAAGTAAAACACAATACTTTCAAGTACATTCAGAACATTGGAAACCCTGACTA